TACCTTGTCTTTGCTGCACCCTGGCCCGGTATGGCTCGGTCTATCTACAATGATCATGATCGTTTCGAGTCTGTCTACTTCAGCCGATTTCCTGGCTTCTTCGTGACTGGTGATGGAGCTCAGCTGGACAAAGATGGCGACTTTTGGATAACGGGTATGTGTTTGTACTGTCTGCTCTGCATGCCACAACAATTTTGTTGTTTTGCAAGTGTGCTGGGTACGCAATCGTTCCAGTTCGCGTCCGGCGCTTAGTTCTTGCACAACAAGTATAACCAAGATCTCTTAAAAGTTCTGACCTGGAAGGTTGGCGACTAACGGTGTAATTTGGCCCTACTCAGAACCTTGGGTCAGCATAATGATTCCTTCATGTAGCACCCTCTTATTTAAGTTCCTATATGTTCTCGGTTAAATTTGGTTACTTGTACTTGTTGCGGATGCGATCATGATTGATCTAGCCAGCCTCGATGATGTCCCATACGATGCCTCTTACCACGCGCGACGATCCGTGGCAGCAGACCTGAACAGTTCGAGCTATTATCTTCGCCAGCGCCGAAGACCGAATACCGAAAGTCCAGGAGCCACTTCCATGTCCTGGCGGACTGAGTCGAGTCAGGTTTTAAGCTGACCCCCTCTTCGACGTTTCCAATTAGGTAACGGTTTCGGATCGAGGACAGTAACACTAAGCTCGTGAGGTTGACGGCGAAGAACATGTCCAAACCACCTCAGTTGTCTTCCTAGGATTGCCTGGGATATCCTTGCGATGTTGTCGCAGCGAGTGCGGACTGCCTCATTTGAGACGAAGTCAGTGTATTTTACTCTAAGGTTGGTCCTCAAGCAGTGGTGGTCGAAGACTTTCAGTTTCTGTTCATATTCCACGCGCATAGCCCAACATTCGCATCCGTATAGGAGAACGGACCGCACAAATGCTGGGTACACGCGGATCTTTATCGAGATAGGGATATCGCGTCGGGTCCATAAGCACTTCCGAAGGCTGGAGAACACTCGTCGC